TATATATATATATATATATATATATATATATATTCCGTAGTTTAGAGGGAATATTTTTTTTCGGTGTTGGGAGTTGATTAGGCTTTTTACGTGTTGAAAAAGAATTTCACTACAAGACTATTCATCATCGTCCATGGCCGCACCAGTGCAATTTAACTAATGCGTGATTCAAAAGATCTCACAAAAAAGTGTGTGTGTGTGTGTGTATATATATACACACACGAGAAAGCGCAAACCTTATGAAAAAAAACAAAAAAAACAACGCTGTTACTGATCGATAAGCAAGACCCACTTTTGATTATTTATAGGGATTATAAAAGCATTGAACATACACAGTTTTATTAACGCCAAGATATGTTCTCAGTACCTGTGATTTAGCAATGGTAATATTGAATAAAAGGAAATATTACAAACGAATATCACAGTCAGTGACTGTCCACAAGTTATTTTATAACCAGTGTTTAAATTTGAACGAGTTACACTGTTTAATAATTTCAAGAAGTTACATTATCTCCAAAAATAAAACAACCTTTTATCTCTTATAAGAGATAGTTCATTACCTGTTGTCGATAAAGTTTTTAAAAACACGATCGACCTTTAAGAAAATCCACTTAACGGCGGAAGTGACATGTACTTCAACAAAATCGTGCCAGTTCATTTATTTTTCAGACGACGGCTATTTTTATTGGTTAATCAGTGTGTAAGAGGTATTTATTATATATTTCGTGATCTGAGATTGTAAAACTTTGATCGTGGATTTGTTCTTGTAAAATTAAAAGGTTAGGGTCTTAGGAAATCTCAGGTTATTTCAGACCTCGACAAACTAACGGCGTTTTTCACTTAAAAATGTTATCATACTTTTTTTTTGATATAGTCAGAAGACAGGAAGTGATATTCTATCAGTGAACGAAACGTGGTGTTCAAACTGTCTTCTGTAGAAAGATATCATAGCTTCATGTATGTGTATTATCGAAAATGCCATGATAATTATCAAGTTAATGTATTATTAACGAGAGACTGAAATGTATAGGTTTATATAATATTACAGAATGTGTACATATAAAATGTCATAGCTTTTTTCTTTTTTTTTCTGCCGGAATTGAGTCTGAACTTGGTTTGTGAAACATTATTTTAGCCGTTAATTACAGACTGTTGTAGTTGGCGAAACATTTATTTTAGTTAGTCGCTAGCGTTTATTTATGGTATGTTATATATATAGACCATCACAAAACTGTTAGTGGCCACCTTATCAAGTTATTTAACTTGGTCATTACAGCATTTATTTATGGATAATTGATTATGGCATATTTTACCAGAGACTGTAACAAGACTGTTAGTGGCCACTTCTTATCAAGTTATTTAACTTGGACGTTATATCATTTATTTATGGATAATTGCTTATGGCATATTTTACTAGAAATTATCACAAGACTGTTAGCGGCCACCTTATCAAGTTGTTTAACTTGGTCGTTATAACATTTATTTTTGGATAATTACTTATTTTAAAAAACATGATTGATCTTTCAGAAAAAACACTTAACGACGGATGTAGCCTAACTACAACAAAATCGAGCTGGTTAATTTCTTTTCAGAACGACGTGAATTTTTGTAAGTTACACGGTGAGAATAATAAATCAAGACTTGGACGTCTCTATGACAACTGTAGGATTTAACTGTAGTTATTTGTTATTTAACTTGGTCGATTTATGATATATTTTACTCAAGACTATCACAAGTCTGTTAACGGCCATCTTATTCAAGTTATTTAACGTGGTCGTTATAACTAGGTCATCTAATTTTCGATTTTAACCGATAAACGTCGAAACAAAAAAGAAAGAAAATAAAACCCTGTTTTTCTAATAAACACCAGAAATGGGTATTCAGTTTACATTACATTAATGTAACTCCCGTTAGTGTTAAGTTTGTTTTTATAATTTTGTTTAAAATGTTAGTTGCTCTTACAGAGGTTTAATATAAATAGAAACTATGTTTTGTACCTGTTGTTACTTCCATAAGAGAAATTAGTGTGCAGCGAATATACGGTGTATTAGTGTGAAAATAATATATTGTATATATATATATTAATATAGCCATTACAGCATTAAAAACGAAAACTACGAAAAACACCGATTTTAAGATATCTAAATAAAACTGTAAAACAGCTAGAAAAATACACCGAAAAACAGAAGTCCTAGTTATAAAATGTATTAATGAATAACTGCCTATGGCATATTATATGGAGAATATCACTAGTTTGTTAGTGACCACCTTATCAAAATATTTACGTTTATCTATGGATAATTGCTTATGGTATGTTATACAGAGACTATCCCAAGTCTACTAGCAGTTACATTTGTAGAATTGCTTAATGAAAAGCTACACAAATGACTTGGATAGCTATAGTCTCGGATATTGTAAG